GTGTGTGTGTGATAATGGAATTGAATCTATGGCCTCACATATGCTAGGCAAGTGCTACCAAGTTACAACCCCTTCTCTTTAATTTTGAGAAAGAGCCTCACTAAGATGCCTGGGCTAACATCAAACTTGTAACCCTCCTACTCTGGCCTCCTACGTATCTGGCATTACAGGAGTGTGCCATTCTGCCCAGCTGCGTCTTCTGTATTCTTACTGATAATTTCTTATTTCATCAATTAAGGAAAGAGAAGTAATGAAATCCCCAAACCAGGTTATGGATCTTTCTATGTACCCTTTCAATTGTATCAGTTTTTGCTTTGTGCATTTTGGTGCCTTATCCTGCACTTAAGATCCTGAGGCCTCTTTAATAAATGTTGTCATTTTAAATTTAAATGAATTTTAATATAAATCATGTATCTTAAAATGTCCTTTTCATCTCTGAAAGTGTTCATTTTCATGAAGTTCATGCTTATATAATATAGCCAGTTCTTTTTCTCATTATTATTATCAGTGTGGCATGCTTCAGCTGCTTCAGTCCTTTCACTTTTAATCTGCTCATGTCTTTGTTCTTTAAGTGTACTTTCATAAATTGATTATTGTGTGGTCTTTAATTTTTCTCTAACCTGACAGCCTGTCTTTTGACCAATGTCCTTAGTCCATTTAAACACGATAGAATAATGGACATGTTGGGCTTGTTTCTCTTTGCTTCATTTCTTCTTTATTCCCTTTTTTGTTTTGGGCTACTTTTAGATTAAATATTTATAAGTATTCCATTTTCTCTCTTTCCTTTTTTTAGTTATAGTTCTTTATTATATTTAATTGATTTGTCTACCATTTATAATATGCATTTTAACCTATTATAGCCTCCTTTCAAATTATATTATACTGCTGTACAAATAATAGAAACTCCTTAATAGAGTGTACTTCATTTTTCCCTCCTTTTTTACTATTTGCATTCAATTTCCATATTTCACATAATCAATTTATTTCCACATTCTATTCAGCATTGTCATATTGAACATGTCCAGCACCCAACAACAACAACAACAAAAAAAATGACCATACATGTGAAGTCAGAAAATGTGACCAAACAACCAAATGAAAAAAATCAGTCGGTAAAATGAAAATGAGATGAAATATCATTGTAATCATTTTGCTTTAGTCAATTACATTATTAATGATCTTTACAAAAACAAAAATTTTACATTTTTATACATTTACTAGTACCAACATTATTCTTTTATTTACATAGACATGTTTCTATCTGAAACCATTTTCTTCCAGCTTCAAGAACATATTTTTGTAGAGCAAATCTGATGACATTGTATTTTTCAGGTTTTGTTTATCTGAAAATATATTAATTTTGCCTTTGTGTTTGAAAGGTATTTTCACTGTATATATATTTACTTTCATCATTTTCCATATTGTATTCATTATCTTCTGGCTTGAATTGGTTCTTGTGATATCCCTAATGAATGCTTAAATTCTTTTATCTCTCTATATATACTGTGTCTTTTTCACATGGCACTCTTCAATATCACATATTTTTTTTTAAATCCATGTACATACCAAACATATTTATAGTTATTGTTTAATCCACTAGGTCCATCATATCTAGTATTCCTGAATTTCATTTTATTGAGTGATTTTTTCCTCTTGGTTATGTTAAGTCACATTTTCTGACTTCTTCATATGTATAGTAATTTTTTATTGGATGCTGGACATGGTTAATAAGACATTGCTAAATGGCTATATTTTGTTATTTTTATTATTGAGCATTGAATTTCATTTTTCTGGACAGTTAATTTACTTTCAAATCAGCCAGACTTGTTGAGCCTTTTTTAAAGTTTAGTAGCATGGTGCTAAATTAGTCTTTCTCCTAGGGCTACTAAAGACTTGTTTCTTGTAGCTTCTTTACCAAAGACCATGTGTTCAAATAGATCTTACCACTCTGCATAGAACTCATTATCTTTCGTCCCTACTTGAGCTCCAGGGGTTATAAAGTTTAGATGTTCGCAGTAGCAGTTTCCTTCCCAGCTTTGGGGAATCACACCCAACTTGGGTGAAGCTGAATATTCAGCCATGGATCCCAAGGACCCTTTGTAGGTTTTTGGAGCTCTTTGTGTCACTCACTCTTGTCTTCTGTACAACATTAAACCAATGCCAGGAGCCTCAGCCGGTTCCTGGGTTTTTGCCAGGAATTGCATTAAAGTATAAACATATACTTACATTATTTTTGTATTATGTCATGAGCGTTCTGTTACTATTATCACTGACTTTTTGTTGGCTGCCTAATATTCTAATAAATATTTTCAAGGGTCTAGTAAATATTTTCAAACAGAAAGCCAAGCAATTTTGAGAACATTTGTTCTCCACCCCTTAGGGATCACACTTTTCTATGGTCAGGAATCCAATGTTTGAGAACAATTGTTTCATACATTGACTAGGTTTCTAGTTGTTTACGGTGGGAAACTAAAGCAGTTCCAGTTATTCAATCAAGGTCAGAAGCATTTTTTTCTGAAAACACAATTTTAAAGTTAATGAACTAAAAACAAAAACAAAGACTAAGAAATATCACATGACCAAACCACTGATTCTTCATGTGAGATGACTGTTAAGCTAATAAAATTTGTGGATTTCCATGTTTATGTGTGTGCCATTTTATGGGGAATGCTAAATGCCAATAATATGAGTTGAGTCTAAATATCCTATTCTAGCAACCCCAAGAGGTTTCTTAAGGAATTTTTATCAGAGATTTTCATGTCTTATTCCTTTATAATTGTGCCCTGAAAATGTCTTGAAATACAGTGGGGAAAATGAGATTGTACTGATCACTATACAAATCTAAGCCAAAAGATGTTTCAAATATTTTATAGACTGTTGGAAAATATAAAGAAATACTTTTTACCTTTTAGGCAAAATCATTTATTTTTTATCAAAAAGCTTTAACATTGTCTAAAATACATCCATTTGTAGATCGTAACAAGTATTTCATATTCATCCATAGATGGTAGAAGCTATCGTGATAGTTTTCTTTCAATATATTTTCCTTCAAATTTAAAATTCAAAGTAAAAATTAATCTTATTATTTTTCATAACTCTGGAAGTGTGTATGATTATTTAATATTTCTATTAAAAATTCATGTTAGACTATATAAAGTGAATGATAAAACATTATTTATTGGAAGCTGTGATTGATGAGTTAAATTTCAATAATTATAATTTCATGAATACATTGTTTTTATACAAGCACCAGAAAATCTTGCTAAGAACCATAAATAATTCTAACAAGTAATTATTATGAAAAAAATAAGTGATTAATAAGCAAATGCTTTTTGCTTTTTTTCTGCTTATTGCTTTTGCTTACAAAAACCATCAATTTTAATAGTAATAAAGCAAGAGATCCTTTTAAAAAAGCTAGATTGTTCAAAATTTAACTTCTGATATTTCTCCTCAACCATGGTTGATAGCTTTTTTCATTATATTAATATCCTCATATCCCACTGTTTCCTTACTCTGGAAATCTAGCATCATATGTAACAATTTCTTTTACCCAAGACAATCAAGTCATAACCATATTCTGTCAACTTCATTCTAAGTAAATCTTGCTATTTTTTTCAATTACCTCAATCCAAGCCACCATTACTTTCAGCTGGGCTACCATATTGATGGTATGTGCTATCTTCTCTATCTAAATGTACTACACCAGTCCCTTCTCCACATAATAGTTTTTCAAATTTTCATTAAAGATTTGTATTTATTTTTTTGTTGTAAAAACTCACTGCATACTACAGAAACTATAAGGTCTAGTTATTCTTTATGTCTCCAGCCTTTGTCTTTATGATCTGCTCAGCATAGTTGGACTCATGCACACTTGTCTCCCAGATCTCCAGCAAGCTGCATGTTAAGACCTTTATGTTTGCAGTCCACTTGGTCTTGAACTTTCTCCCTGCTTTCTTTATTCCTCCTAGCTAACATCCTCAATAAATAACTCCCCCCACACAAGCCTTCCTCAACTCCCTTCATAAATTAGTTATTTAAATAACTGGTTGAATGCCAGGTTCTCCAGTTAGGTTACAAGTTCCATGAGGAGAGAGAGAGCATGTCTATTTTGTTCTTTTGGAGGCTTTCTGAACATTAAGTTTTACTGAGTTATAGTGAATATTTGAGTAATTATTCAATCATGATTAAATGTTATATAACGAAATATAGATCTCAGCTTCTGCTCCAGACAAAATGAACCCCAGGTAATTTGCAGGCACCTTAATGTAGAAGAAGGAAATGGACTAATATTTGATTCGAATCTCTGATTCCTCGGCTAGTAGTACAGTTATCTCCATTAAAGACAAAATCAATTTAAATTGTGGGATCAATTGACTGAGATTGTGGGCATGGTTGTGAACATCTGTAATTCCAGCAACTTGGAAGGCTGAGAAAGGAGGATGGCAAGTTCAAAGGCAGCCTCAGCAACTTAGACAGTCCCTGTCTCAAAATTAAAAATAAAAAGTATTTAGGATATAGGTCAGTGGTAAAGTTTCCTGGGTTCAATCCCCAGTTAATTAGAGAGAGAGAGAGAGAGAGAGAGAGAGAGACAGAGAGAGAGAAAAGAAAAATTCATCCGAAGGTGATGTTCAGAAATGGAGAAATGGGCTTTCTCAGGCACTGGTATGGGAATATAAATTGATGCACCTTTTTAAGAAAATCAATTTGAAAGTGTTTTTCAAAATCCTTAAAAGTTCAATTTCTTTGCCTCTACAATTACAAATCTGAGAATAAGATCAAGGGAAATATTCAGATATAGTTAGTTTACAGTATGTATATTCAAGCACTATAGAGAATTTAAAGAACTTGGAAACACTCAAACATCCATAAATGGAGATTGGCTTACATAACAATTACCAATAATTTATCAGCTTAAGTTATTAGTGCTTTAATGAAATAATGTGAAGTGGGTATTTCTGCTGGTTTTTTAATGCTCATAACACTTTCAAACCTCTTTATAGCTCTCCGAGATTCTGGCAAACAGTCTATAAATAGTGACTGGAAGATTGAACACTCTGGAGCATTCAATTTAGCTGGAACTACTGTTCATTACGTGAGACGAGGCCTCTGGGAGAAGATCTCTGCCAAAGGTCCTACTACAACACCTTTACACCTCCTGGTATGAGGGAAAGAATTGATAACATTGCATAAGCAGTTTCTCATGATAAAGACATTCCTATTGTACCTTCTCTAATCTTTTTCCCAAATCCAAATTGTCAGGTAGGCATTTAAGATTATTTAAGAGGTGAGTTTTTAGTTTTCTAAAAATGTATTTAAATTTATGATTTCTGAAAACAACAATTATTATAAACAGAATACAATGTTTCAGGGTTTTCACAGATTCAGAGTATAGTCCCAAGGAACAAAGACTCTCTTTTTCCTAGAAGCATTCATTTACTAATCAGACTGCATATCTATGAAAAGAGTGCTATATAATATTGCAAATTGTAGCATTTCAAAATCCATTGTGTGGGTATTGTCTGATTCTGTATAAAATGCATTCGATAAAATGTTCTTTTGATGAGGAAAATAATTTGCTAAATATATATATATATATATATATACACATATATATATACACACACATATACACACACAGTATTCTCATTTACCCTGTTAGGCTTGCTTAGTGGGTCAATAGATTCCAGTAAAGACTTATGAAAATTTGAGTGTTTGGGATGATAATTTAGGCTTAAAGTTATTAAAAGATTAGGTACATGTCCAAAGAGATTTGGAGAGAAAGGGTTAGGATGATGGGGCTTTGTCCAGGCTGGTGGCAGGTCTACAAGCCTCTTTGGACCTTAATCATGACAGTCAGTGATGATTCCATAGGAGCCAGAGGACTGAATATATCACTAGCATGAGTTTTCTATTTTAGTGGCAAAAAGTGTTCTAAAATTCAGACATTTCAGCACCTCCTTACATCTACACATAAAACTGATCTAAGCCATGATCCATTGGCTGTTTATTTTGGAGTGTGTTATGCCACATTATTTAATATCTCCACACATTTTATGTTGACTTTATCTTCAATTGGAGACATCTGTGTTGCTAATATAGGAGCCAGAGGTTCAGATCACATATTGGCCCATTTGCATTGACTCCTTTAAAGTGCCCACTAATTACATGGAGTTCTTGTTAAAATGTACATTCTACTGATTTGGTTCGGAGGCAGGACCTGAGATCTGTGTTTCTAACCAGTTTCTACCTGATGCCACTATTTCTGGTCCAAAAACCGTAATTTAAATTACAAGGTTCTATATAACTACAATCACTATGCTTTACCATCACCAATACAGGGAGCAAGGTAAGTGGATGTGTACCTTCTGTTCCAATCTTAGTAATATTCACCATTCATTGAGCACTAAGAATCAGACACTGGTCAAGGGTGCTTGATACTCGGTGCAACACATAATCCACATAATAACCCTGTGTGATATGTATGATTGTTGTATAATTGTTGTTATTTCATTTGATTGACTAAAAAGAACTAAGTATGAGGAAAGTTAAGCATGATGCATAGTGTTATCTAATAAATTATTTAACTGTCAGTAAATAATCATTGTTCAATGCTTTCTCTCTTTTATAAAGTTGAGATCTTTATACTAAACTTCCTTGGATAATAAATATACATATTTTAAATAATTATTTTAATCCTTTGTGTCCTACTCTATAAATTCAATTGGAAACTCCCTTCTGTCCTCTGTGCCACCTAGAAAAAAAAAAGAGAGAAAAAATGACTGCTATTATTTGAGTAATATATAGCTCCTTCTATGATTGGGTCACGTACAATAACTATCAAAGCAAAAATATTTTAATGATTAGGTTTCAGAAAATGCTATTATGTTTGCTAACTTATGTAAGTGTATCCTACATTTTTTTTAAATGGAACAAGACCAAGTCTCTTATAATGAGCCTCTACTTTAAAAAGTGTGTATGAGAGACCTTGGTGTTGGGCAGAAGGAGCTTCATTGCTTCAGAATCTTTAATCTGACTGGTAATTACCAAGGTTTTTCCTGGAAGCATGAAGTATAATTAAAGTCAGTGAACTATGTCTAAAAGAAGGCATCTATGTGACCTGGATTTATTCAGTAATCCAAGGGAAACTGCACTTCTAAGATATTTTTCTTTAATGACTATTACAGACTCGAAGCTGGTACTGATTTTTGAAAGGCAATACCTCTGCTGCCATGCTTCCATATGTGCCCATCCACTGTAACATGGTCACACTTTCCTTTTGCAAAGAATACTGCCAAATTCAAATGGTTTAAGAAAGAGCTAATGGTTTTGTGGCCAATGTCTCTATTTTAAGTGGCATTAAATATTCGAGGACTACCTCAAGTTCTATCAATGAAAAGGCAGTTTATTAGGTAAAATAGACATGTTTTTATGTAATTAATTAAGTTGACAAATGGTTGTTATTTGTATTTATTCCATCATTTAAAATTATGTAATAGTCTAGTTTAAAAACATAAACAAGTAGTTTTAAAAAAAAAAAAACTAAGTTCTCTCTCTTTAAACTTATTGGGCTGAAAGTAGCCTATAATTGGCAACATCAAATGAGATATTTGAGATATTGAAGCCAAAATAAGCACTGTGTAAGCACTGTGATGTATTCTGAATTAGTACCTAGTGTGTTACTCATTTGTGAACTTAAAAATGGTTTTATTTATTTATTCTTCTTTTTTTTTTTTTTTTTTTTTGGTGGTGCTGGGGATTGAACCCAGGGACACTCTCCCGCTGAGCTAAATCTCTAGCCTTTTTTATGTCATTCCCAGACCTTTTCAATTTTTGAGACAGGATCTTGTTAAGCTGCCCAAGTTGACTTTACGCTTGCAATCTTCCTACATATACACCACTATGCCAGGCTTATATTTATTATCGTGTAGTTATTTTATAAACTCAATGCTCAATTCACCATCAAAACATATCTTAGTATTTCTGTTTGATACCTTCAAATTTTTGAACAAAAATTTGAGAAAAAAAAGTGGGAAAAATATAATAGAAATGCAGACCCTTAACTTTGGGTTCATTTAGTTTTTTTTCCCCACAGAGTATTAACTCTTTTTACGTACAATTGTCTAACACAGGTGAAACATTGCACAAAGTTTCCTAAAATTAAGCATGATTTAAAAATGTAAGAATATGTGTTTTTGTGCTTCACATTTTATTATATACATTTTTCCATAGTTTCTCAGAGTCATTGAAGTGATATATTTCATGTGGTTGTTTGACAGATTTTCTGAAAATGAATTGATGAAGAAAAATTATCATTCATTTTTTCACTTAATTACATACACATAGATACATATGTATATACATCTATATACTATGTATAAGTAAGTATTTATTATGATCCAGTTCTGAGCTTGGTTCTGGGTACCTGTAGAGAACAAAACAGACATGATCCTTGCCTATGGTTCTGTGCAGGGTAACCTAGAGTTCAGTCCTTCCCACACATCCTTTATGGTTTATTGAACTGTTTATTTGTATGTACATAAATGTACAGTTATTAAGTTAATATTTATTTATAAATTCATTTTAATATTTTTGAAGAAAACAATTTTTACTACAAGTGGAAAATTCATCAACTTGCCAAAATTCGAAGTTAACTGCAAGCATACGTGGAATGAAAGTCTTATCCTCCAGTTGGCTTAGAAATTCTCTGTCCTTAGGGAGATATGATCCTCTAAGTCTTCACCTGAGTATGGAAGAAAGGAGTCCTCTGTTAAATTGGGGACTTCCTGTTTATTTATTTTTTTATTCAAGTGGAAAGATCACAGTTGATATTATACTGTGGGTCATATCTTAATGCCACATGGAACACACATTCCTGCCACCACTCCCTTCCACCCCAACCAAAGTCATCATGCATGTGCCAATTCTTTGAGAAGCTGTTTAGTCCATCAAATTGAAAATAAATTACCAGGTATTTCTGATACCATTCAAGTGAACTTTTCTTCATGACCTCTTAGGCTCAGAGGTAACTATAGGGTCCTATCTTTTCAAAAGTATGACAATTTTGATATTTAAGAGTACTGTCACATTTTTCTGCTACATATTAAAGAGGTATCCTTGCCATGCAATAGGCATTTTAAAATATCAGTGTCCTTAGTTTATATTTCATGTCAAATGTGTCCTAATCATTTTTATATGTTATAGGTACTCCTGTTTCAAGATCAGAATTATGGTCTTCACTATGAATACACTGTCCCATCAGACCCTGTTCCAGAGAATCAGAGCTCCAAAGAACCAGAACCCCTCTTCATGTGGACTCACACAGGCTGGGAAGACTGCGATGCCACATGTGGAGGAGGTTAAAAAATTTTAAATATTCATCTCTCCAAAACAGCAGTTGTTTTCTCACTAACCACTGATAAGTAAGACAGATTCCAGACCCCTAATCTGCAATTCCAAAATCCATAAAGGATTGGAAACTGAGGTTTTTTGATGATATGTTTAGTACCTAAGTACCTGAACTACTCTGTAGCAAAATCTGCCTTGAACTGAAAAAAAGTATTTAGATTTGTTACATATTTCACTAATGTGATGACTCATTGTATTGCATTGCATAAATAGTAGTGAATTTTGTTTGTAATGCACTAGGTTCCATAGACATTATTTAAGTTGCTATGCAATATTTTTGTACTGTATTAATTTGATAAAATCTTCAAAATTCTGGATTCCAAACTAGATCTGCCCACAAAAATTGTGGACTACAAGAATTGGAAGCATGTTTTGACAGAGTAGTATTGAGTTTGTTTCTGTGTTGTCTGCATACTTAGGCTAAATATACAGAATATGTGGGAAAAAAAACATAATTTCCCTAATTCTTTAGCTTGCTAGTTTTTAAAAGCATGTTACTATTTTTCTGAAATTGTGCTCCAAGATTTTCTATTTTTGTTTTCATGTCAGAGAGTGATGAGACAAAAGAATGAAATTACTTCAACATAAAATGTTAGACTTAGAAATTACTTCGTCTTACCTTTGTTTTGCCCATGAGAAACTTGTATGCCACAGATTAAGATTTTTGTTGCTCACAGAAGTAGTGAATAGTAAGGGCAAGCAGATCCCAGTCAGGGACTTCTACCTTCCCTGTGAATCCCTGTGCATCAATAGCATATTATTATTTCAGTTACTTCCACTTAATAACATTTTATACAGCATTGAGTATGAGATGCCTCATAAGAACAAAAGGAGAAATCTTTACCATATAAAGGTATTGTGTGTGTGTGTGTGTGTGTGTGTGTGTGTGTGCGTGTGTGTGTGTGCTATATATAATATGACATGGTTTGTGTATAAGAAGTGAAAAATTTATTTGTTTTTTTCGTGAAGGAATATCAATATGCAAAGCTTAATGTTGTTGCCGCAGAAGCCTAGGAAAGTGCAGAAAGAGACTGGCAGGTGAGACTGGCAGGTGGAAGAGTGTGTTTGTTGTACAGAAGACAGAAAATAAGTAGACAGGTAAAGAATACATTAAGGTATCAAAGTGTGAGAAGTATCTGGAGAAAAATAAGCAAGGACAGGAAACAAATCTGAAGTGTGAAGAATAGAGGGAGTAGGTTCAGTTTTAAATATGGTGGTCAGAAAAGCCCTCAATAAGATCAGGATGAATTAACACAAATAAGCAAACAAACAAATAAACTCTGACATGACTATGAAGGTTGTATGGGGCCAGTGGAAGTCCTGGAGTATGAGTAGAGCTGGTTGCTCAGGAATAGCAAGAAGGCTGGCATGGCCCTCCTTTGCTCTGGATGGTGTGGGATGCTTGTGGTAATGCTCAAATAGAGGAGTAACTTAATCTGGTTTGCATTTTTAAAGGTTTTTTTTTTTTTTTTTGCTTCCAAGTTGAGAGTTGGCTAAATGGAGCAAAAAGGTAGAAGGAGAGATCAGTTAGGAAGTTACTACAGTAATCCAGGAAAGAGAATAATAAATGTACCACTCCACTGTGTTAGCAATGTGAGAGGGAAGAGTGGTCAGGGTCTGTACAAAATCTCAAAGTAGAACTAACAGATTGTATAGATAGAAACATATATCTATCGATATGAGTGTCAGAGAATGAATGTGATAGTTTTAGCAACTAGTAAGATGAAGCCACCATCGATTTACATAGGAAAGTGAAGTCACAGGATTAGCAGGAAGTTTTATTCTCATCATCAGTTTAAGGTGCCTAATAGACATCTAAGGGTGATCCCAAGTAAGCAGTTGGGTATAAAATTCTGGTGTTCAGGAGAGAATATTAAACTAGAAATACTCAGTATATGGAAGAGATATTAAAATATTGAGACTAAAAGTCACCAAATGAACAAATGTGGGGAGTGAGAGTGAGGGAAGCTATTGGAGGACTGAGACTTGGGGTACTATGCATTGACAGTCTGGAGGGATGAAGAGGAAGGTGCAAAACAATTTAAAATGAGTAGCCAACACATAGGAGAAGACACACAGGAGAGAAAGCTCTTGCTAGGCATCTGACATAGAGCTGTTACAAGGAGAAAATTATCAACTATCAAAAACTACCAATGGAAAATAAGGTAGAGGATGAGTTGACTCTAACATTTAAATATATTACATGATTATGTTTTAAATGGATTACATTTAGTAGCTTTGAAACATGAAGTTTAATTCTTACCCCGTAGAAATTCATTTCAATGACATGTTTGGCTTAAAAGACCAAGTGGAGTGGATTCAAAAGAAAATGACAGAATAAGTGGAGAAAGGAACTCTAAGGGATTCTAGGAATGTTGCTGAAAGAAGAAAATAGAGAAATGTGGCAGTAGCTAAAAAAGAAGGTGAATCAACAAAATTTGTTGTTTTTAATAAGAGAAATTATGCATACTTGTTTGTCAGTGTGCATTTTCTAGAACAGAAGAGAAAACTAGAAATGCAAAGGTGACAGCAAACATTTGATGAAACAATATCCACATGGGATGGGGGACGGGATGCCAAAGTTGGCTTTACACAAATATATGGACAGTCTATCACTAGTAACATGCAAAAAGTTTAGTGCCAAGAACTTATGGCAATATTCTTATTACTGCATCTATTTTCTACAAAAAAATGTAGTCTTTGTGAGAGTGAGGGTAGAATAGGAGGTAATAGAGTTTGAAAAGAGGGATGTGAAGTGGCACTAAGAGAATAAGGAGACAAATTGAATGGGCACATGTATTTTGTTTGTGTGACAGCACTAATGATCCACTTGAAGTTAGTAGTATCATCTTAGAATGACACCAGTCCTCATGATGTCTTTATTCTCTAACTATGTACAGTATGCAGGCAGGTACTCATGTGGAGTAAGTTTGGGAATTTCCAGGTGAGAATGATAAAATAAAATCAGATTCTGATTTTATGTTTTATGACCTGAAATTTTATGTAACAAGTTGGAAATAGTGAAATGTGAACTTTAGTTCTGTGAGGAGGGAAGCAAAGGTATGACAGGATTTAAAGATAGTAAAAATGTGATAGTATCAATAGAAATAGAGCCTGGTGGGGTTAAAGAATTCCTAGACACAGAGTACTAAGGGGCTAGAAAAGCAAGATATAATAGGAAATAGAGCTGAGATTATAGATCAGATAATAGTGATTGGTTATACAGAGTGGTAAGGGAGTTACTTGCATAACTAAAATCAAAAGCAAGATCACAGTGGAGAGAAGAGGGCCAGGTACACATAGTGCCAGAATCACTCAAATTGATAGTGTAATTGTAAGAATTGTACCAGGAGCAGGGTTAGAAAAATATGACAATAAGCCAGGAGCCAAAATCTAAACATAAGGAGAAGGAATGACTCAGGAGTTTGCATTTGATCACAAGAAGAATGATGCATTGTATAGTCTGATACAAAACTAGAGTTTTCAAAGAAGAAAGGAAGAAGGGTCTGCTAGAGGCACTGAGGAACATAGAGACCCACACTACTTCTAGATCCCAAAGGTACCAGAGCATAAGCAAAATGCTTACCTCATTGGAGGCTGCAGGGAGAGCAAGAAACAGTGTTCTCAAAGGAGAGCAGGAGCGTGTTGGAACATTCAGAGATGAAGAGGGGAGGAGCAGTCATTAGCAAAGTGCTCATAGCTTTAGGATTGCACCTGTTGCCTGCGTCACCTGGCTCTCTGGAGCCACCAGGCATAGACAATCCAGCAGGCAGGGCAAGGTGATATTATACAGCACACTCTTTGCTGTCAAGGATATAAGGTAATCACAACAAATAGATTTCAAATAATTCTCTCAAATTAAAAAATGTTCTCAGTCATTCTTGCCACAAGGAAATTTCCAGTGGCTATGTTTCCCCTCAGGCCACACTATCACCAAGGGACTTCAGTCTGCCATCATCCTATGTTCTCCTGCGAACAGCCTTTATACACGCAAATTCCTGGTCGTCTCCTTCATCCATTCTTCACTGATAGCAAGGCTCATCTCCCTTTACCTGAGTCACATCTGTTACACAGATAAAACAAAAATATAACCTGGAATAAATACGTTCTCAATGGAATATGTAGTTACAGATTTCTCCTTTACTGAAACTCAGATAAGAATTTTAGTCATGCCTTCAGTCCACTGACCAGTCAGTCTCTGTCTGATAGTCAGGGTGGGGTATGGGTGAGGGGATTGACAGAGAGTCTAATGGATCACCTTATTATCAGTGAAGAACAGTCATTAAAATCAGTTTGCATTTAAAAAGCCTGGACAGGAAAACGTTTGCCCAGTGAATTATATTATCCTCATTTTTTTTTTCTCCTAAAATTGTGATCTGTTACAAGATACAGCAAAACATACAGAACTTGTCAACCTTCAGTTTGAATAGTAAATTGTTTAGGATTAAAAATTTTCCCAAAAATCATATTAGATGATTCCTGGAGTATGTTTTGTCAATTTCTAACTCTTAAGGAATAGAGATTCACAATAAATAATTTTAGTCTCAGAGTCAGAGAAATATTAGAGACCTTTACACATGATTTCTTCATCATGGAGATGATATAGCTGAAGTGCATAAAGACCAGGACCTCTCGGGGTCCTGTGATGGGTGGACCCAGGATCAGATTCCTGCACTCCTGGGCTCAAATCCCCTTTTTTCCTGACCACACTGCTTCAGGATCAGCTCAACAAGCTTCACATATTTTGTTTCCACAAAATAGAGAATGTCCTCTAGAGATTATTCAGGTTTTCTTTGGATTCAAAGAGACGTTTCATTTAAGAATTTATATGTCTTTATTTTTATTTGAAATGGCAGATTTTGCAACATACTCCTCTTAATTATTTACAATTCCTCTATGATTGGTGCTGGTGTAGACCTTCCCTCTGAACTTGGTTGCACTATTTAGTCA